GCACTGTGGTAACATTGGAGAAAGACTGTGACTAGTGTTGGCGGGTGTGGAAATGAGAGGCCTCCGAGCTCTCGGTGCTCCCCAAATACCGAGACACCGCTTTTCTGATCCCGCACTATTTCCAGTCAGTGACACTGGCCTGAACTCTGTGTGCTGCTTGCTCAGGTAGACCCTTCAGTTGGTGTCCCCAGAGCCCTAATACATGGCACAATCGGGGCTGAAGCATCCACAGTGTTCCATCCCCCCCTCTTCCTACATGATCCGGACCTCCCTCCATCAGCCAGATTTCAGTTTCAGCTGGTGTGTAGGGCAGGAGGGGAGGATGACGGAGAGCGCAATGTGTCGGTATTTCTGTGTGAGTCATTGCAGGTGGAGTTCTCCTTAACTCGCAGTGCAGGCCTTCAATAACCTGGAGAACATGATATTCGGAAAGGGCTTCCAGGCCAAGGTGTTCCCAGAGGGTGAGTACCAACATCACATGGTGTCCCCTGGGGGGGACTACCGCCACCTCATGGTGCCCCCTGGGAGGGTGAGTGCTGCAACCACACAGTGTCCCCCAGAGAGGATAAGCACCACCACCTCAAGGTGTCCCCTGGGAGGGTGAGGACCTCCCTTCTGTATTATAGTAAAGAATGTTTCACAGGTCCCTCTGTGTCCCTGGTGCTCCCTGTGGGTGGAGCTGAGGGGGTGGGGCAGAACTTCTCGGAATGGATGGGTCTCTAGTTTGGTGTCACCAGGAGGGGAGGGTCTGCTTGGGGGGGTGTTACCAGAAGGGGTGGGTCTCCAGGAGGGGATTTCACCAATCCATCGAGTCTGCGTCACCACATGGTCAGTACCACCAGAGCCTCTTGCTGAGCTATATGACGTAAGGGACACGGGGGGGGGTTAATTTCCTGTGCACCACTGACTTCCTGTCCATGGCAGAGGATGCTCTCAGAAGTGGTGGGGGCGGGTTATGGTCCTCCATATAGAAGGTCTCTTTATATGTCTGCCAATCCACTGTAGTAATTCCTCTAAGAGAGGAATTCCCTTCCTGTTGTGTCTGCAAGACAGGAAGTAAACTGGGAACTCTCCCCAGTGGGGACACAGGCATGAATAAACACCCAACAGAAGGATTGACCCTTAATCTGATTGTACGCTCTCCTGTATATGCAGCATATAATGCCGAATAGGTACCACCCGGACGGCTCCATCTGTCACTGCTGCATCTAGTCCGTTCTGGCATGCTGCAGGCTCCTCCCCCTCCCCATTGGCTGAGCACAGAGAGGGGGAGGAGTTTTGTTCAGGATAGTTGATTATGATGGTCTGTTGCTCTCCATGATCTCAACCCGCTTCCCTCTTCTTCCTCCGCAGCTTCATCTTCTCGCTGGTGGACCTCTACTACGTGAACAAGATTTCCTCCGGCATGTACCAATCGATGACCCCGAGGAACGGTGCGCGGCCCACATTTTTAAGTCAATGGACCGCCCACGTTACAGGTCATTACCACTGACACAATGAGGTGAGGGATGGAGTGCCTCAATAAATCCTCTGTGTTCCCTAAAACAGCCAATCAGAGGCTTCCCCGGTAGCTATAGCGTCTGGAACCTGATTGGTTGGTGTGGGCAGCACTCTGTAAGTGAAGAGTGAAACGTTAACCACGCGAGGATATTGAACGTAAGCAACAAGGTTTCCAGGACGTATCTCCTACGCCCGCCTTGTCTCCTCCTCCTGCCGCCATTACCAGTAAAATAACAGCCGGAGTTTGCTTTGTATTACATGGCGGCGGGAGAGGACGTCACCATGACAATCGGGGGCGGTCTACAAGTGTTACCTGCTCAGGAATTCACCCAGAAGGTATATTTTTATTTTTGAAAGGAGAACTATGAGGTGAGTGCTTTTCACTCACCTCATAGTTCTAGCCGACCGACAATGAGACTGTCACAGGTCGGCTCAGTAGATCGGGAGGTGAGGGAAAACATACCGGCGTTCACTCACCTCTCGAACCTGTCCCTGCAGAGACCTGTGACTGTCACTCACGGCTCCCCACTGGGTTTCTCGTCCCCGCTCCGATCCTCCTGCGCTGACTGGCGGAACAGACGGGGGAGGGGGCGGGTACAGCTGGCTCTGCCTCTAGATAGGCAACGCCAGCTGTCAATCACGCAGCTGGGCGGATCCAGACAGTAATGTCGGGATTCGTCCCGGCTGCGGCGGTCTCAGTATACCGCGAGTTCGCGATAGACTGAGCTTTGGGCGAGCTATTGGGTCACGTGACCCTTAGGAGAACTATGGGGAAAAACACTGACCACATCGTTCTTCTTTAACCAGTTGACATCCGCGGTGTTAAAAAAACTTTTTTCAAAAAAATGAAATAGATGAATAGACTGGGGGCAAAGTATATTTACCGAATCGCTGTTGTTATAAAGTGTATTTTATATTCACATTACATTAAAACTACTTGTTAAAAAAAATCCAAAGAACTAACATTGGTCAAGATAGAGAATTGTTTTATTTGATGGATTCCATTAAAAATCTAATTTTCGCAGGACATTGCGGCCGGAAGAAAGCCGAGTTTTCCCCAAAAATGACCCAATGTATGTATTTTATCCCAAGTAATGACGGCGTTCTTCTACAATAAACGGGCCGCTAGCAGAAATGTCTCGGGCCCATCCGGGGTATACGGGAGGAGGAGAGAGCTGAAGGGGTTAATAGGGAGACCCCCAATGGTTGTGTGGGACTTTGTTCTGCTGTCGGTGTCACCGATCCGCCGGGATTATTAGACGTGGGAACAGGACGGCGATCCTTTGATGAGACGGAGTACAAAGCCGAGTCGGTTTTATGTGGCGGGAACATGAAAGGGAGAAGTTTTATGAATATACCCCCTTCTCACCCCCGCTATACCCCTCTTCTCACCCCTACTATACTTCTCTCCAGTGGTGACTTTTGCCAACACAAAACTTCCTCCCCAAGGATTCAGGACTCTGAGATGGCAATATTTCTGCAATGTCCCTCCCCCTATAACTGACATACCTCTTTAGGGTGGAGTGTCCCGTTGGGGTGGTACACATAGTAAAATCGTCATCAGTTGGGGGAATGTATTAAAGGGAGCCTCTGATTGTTGACCCTAGGGATCCTCTTGTTCACACAGACAGGGATGGGTAGTCCGTTGCCCTAATTCTGGCCAGCTTGATACGGATCAGTGTAATAATCTGCTGTGGCCACATGGGGGCGGCGTTGCTCCACCTGTCCAATTACATGCTGGTCCCTTTCAGCCTCCAGGCAGTTCAGTGTAATATCTTCTCTGACCACATGAGGGCGGCATCGCTCCATCAGTCTCATTAAGGAAGGTTTGTGTCATATCTATTGTGGCCACTAGATGGCAGCCCGGTATATGGTACACTGCGCGGCCTGTGATGTGCACTCTGGAGCTCTATAACTGGAGGAGGTAATATCATGATCCAATGGGGAGGGGGGGGCAGGATGTACTGAGAACCCGGGGATCTCCTCGCCTGAACTAAAGAAAGCAGAACCTCCAATTACACAGCAGAAACACACATGATCCGTTTTATCTGGCAAAAGCTTTCTAGTTCTGTTCAGCCAGTCGTGTGATGCTGACACCATGCTAAACAGCACCGTGTGGAGGAAGATATCATTATTCACTATTACAGCTCCCCGCACCCCATGTGATAAACTGCAAACTCTCCTGTGATGAGGTTTAGTAAATGATGTCACCCTCATCTGTACGGGATTAGAAGGAACGTGATCCGGGGGAATGGCGGAGACCCTCCTCCTGGGGTCAGCGATCGCCATCGCCCCATCACCGACATTTATTTTCTTTAGGCAATTAGTGGAATTTCAGACCAATAATCCATCGGATGGGGGAGGGGGGGAAGGGAGGGGGGTCTCTCTAATGAGGGCCCTGATATAAGGAGCTTAGAGGGACCTGTCACTGGAGATTAGAGCAAGGAGGGGAAAGCTTCGTTTTCTGACCCTGAGTGACCCCCAAATCCCAGAATCCGCCCACTAGTTCTAGACATCAATTATTGCTTATGTGTAGGAACTCCACCGGCACTTCCCTCACACCGAAGCCGTATGTACAGGGCTCAGCAATGACAGCTCTTACAGTAAAGAACTCAGACCGAACCCCCCGCTTATCACCCGGGACAACCATAGACACCATCAATATCACCCAGGACAACCATGGACATCACCAATACCCCCCCTTATCTGCTGGGTTAACCTTGATCACCAATACCCCCACAGTAAGAAAAAAATCCCCAGACTGACCTCCATATGTACAGGGCTTCACACTGTCAGCTCTTAAAGTAAAGAACACTTCCCTCAGACTGACCTCCATATGTAGAGGGCTCAGCACTGTCAGCTCTTACAGTAAAGAACACTTCCCTCAGACCGACCTCCAACTCCTCACTGCCAGCTCTTACAGTAAAGACCACTTCCCTCATACTTACCTCCATATGTACAGGGCTCCGCACTGTCAGCTCTTACAGTAAAGAAGACTTCCCTCAGACTGACCTCCATATGTACAGGACTCCTCACTGCCAGCTCTTACAGTAAAGACCACTTCCCTCATACTTACCTCCATATGTACAGGGCTCCGCACTGCCAGCTCTTACAGTAAAGAACACTTCCCTCAGGCCGACCTCCATATGTACAGGGCTCCGCACAGGCAGCTCTTACAGTAAAGAACACTTTCCTCAGACTAACCTCCATATGTACAGGGCTCCACACTATCAGCTCTTACAGTAAAGAACACTTCCCTCATACTGACCTCCATATGTACAGGGCTCCGCACTGCCAGCTCTTACAGTAAAGAAGACTTCCCTCAGACTGACCTCCATATGTACAAGGCTCCGCACTGTCAGCTCTTACAGTAAAGAACATTTTCCTCATTCTGACCTCCATATATACAAGGCTCCACCTTCAGCTCTTACAGTAAAGAACACTTTCCTCAGACTGACCTCCATATGTACAGGGCTCAGCACTGCCAGCTCTTACAGTAAAGAACACTTCCCTCATACTGACCTCCATATGTACAGGGCTCCGCACGGCCAGGTCTTACAGTAACGAACACTTCCCTCAGACTGACCTCCATGTGTGCAGGGCTCCGCACTGCCAGCTTTTACAGTAGAGAACACTTCCCTCAGACTGACCTCCATATGTACAGGGCTCCGCACTGCCAGCTCTTACAGTAAAGAACACTTCCCTCAGACTGACCTTCATATATACAAGGCTCCGCACTGCCAGCTCTTACAATAAAGAACACTTCCCTCAGACTGACCTTCATATGTACAGGGCTTTGTACTGTCAGCTCTTACAGTAGAGAAAACTTCCCTCAGACTGACCTCCATATGTGCAGGGCTCCGCACTGCCAGCTCTTACAGTAAAGAACACTTCCCTCATACTTACCTCCATATGTACAAGGCTCCGCACTGCCAGCTCTTACAGTAAAAAACACTTCCCACCTCCATATGTGCAGGGCTCCGCACTGCCAGCTCTTACAGTAAAGAACACTTCCCTCATACTGACCTCCATATGTACAGGGCTCCGAACTGTCAGCTCTTACAGTAAAGAACACTTCCCTCATACTGACCTCCATATGTACAGGGCTTTGTACTGCCAGCTCTTACAGTAAAGAACACTTCCCTCAGACTGACCTCCATATGTGCAGGGTTCTGCACTGCCAGCTCTTACAGTAAAGAACACTTCCCTCATTCTGACCTCCATATGTACAGGGCTTCACACTGCCAGCTCTTACAGTAAAGAACACTTCCCTCAGACGACCTCCATATGTACAGGGCTTCACACTGTCAGCTCTTACAGTAAAGAACACTTCCCTCAGACCGACCTCCATATGTACAGGGCTCCACCTTCAGCTCTTAAAGAAAAGAACACTTCCCTCAGACTGACCTCCATATGTACAGGGCTCAGCACTGTCAGCTCTTACAGTAAAGAACACTTCCCTCAGACGACCTCCATATGTACAGGGCTTCACACTGTCAGCTCTTACAGTAAAGAACACTTCCCTCAGACCGACCTCCATATGTACAGGGCTCCACCTTCAGCTCTTAAAGAAAAGAACACTTCCCTCAGACTGACCTCCATATGTACAGGGCTCAGCACTGTCAGCTCTTACAGTAAAGAACACTTCCCTCAGACCGACCTCCATATGTACAGGGCTCCACCTGCCAGCTCTTACAGTAAAGAACACTTCACTCATACTGTCCTCCATATGTACAAGGCTCCGCACTGCCAGCTCTTACAGTAAATAACACTTCCCTCATACTGACCTCCATATGTACAGGGCTCCGAACTGTCAGCTCTTACAGTAAAGAACACTTCCCTCATACTGACCTCCATATGACTGTCAGCTCTTACAGTAAAGAACACTTTCCTCAGACTGACCTCCATATGTACAGGGCTCCACACTATCAGCTCTTACAGTAAAGAACACTTCCCTCATACTGACCTCCATATGTACAGGGCTCCGCACTG